GTGTGTCGTGTGTCGTACTATATATATATATATTATTTATTATATATATATATGTGTGTGTGTGTGTGTGTGTGTGTGTGTGTGTGTGTGTGGTGTGTGTGTGTGTGCGTGTGTGTGTGTGTGCATGAATACATACATACAAATGTATACATGCGACCGTGAGTATAATTCCCCTACTTTGTGTCCAATTCACACAGGTTCACACAGCTGAGCTAAGATCACGAACTACATAAGAGATACATCATACAATATTCAGTTCAATCTAAATTATTCTTTCAAAAATTGAATACCTGGCAGACCCGCCCGCAGTAGTACCGTTCCTCGCACGGGCAAAAGCAGGTAAAGGGCGCCTCGCACACATCACACGTTTGGCGCATATAAGCCTTCCTTATACTTTCACCACTCATGATAGCTTGATACTTTGCTATGAACTAGCATGCCCGTGGGCGTGTTATGTGAGTGACCATGTTATTGCGTGCAGAGCTAGTTGACGCTACAGCTGAGTTTCGTCTGCTATATACATAGCACATCAATACCGCAGTGGATTTTAATAGTTATTCATAGCCTTCTAAATTAAACAGAAGACGATGAAATATTGAAATATTGTGAATATAAATAAAATACATAATGCGTTAACGGAGTGGGGGGCGCCTGCATACATGTGAATTCCAGAATTTGTCACTGAAGATTCTGATATCAGTGATGTCACTGGTGGGTTGGACATTTCAAATTTTGGACAACGTTTCATCGGTTTCGTTGTTTGTCAGTTTTGGACCCTTTGTTTGTCAGTTTTGGGCCTTTAATAGGGATCAGGGTTTCTAGTGGACCTTTCGGATCCATATTTTCGGACTTTGAGCTTTGCGGGTTTGTAAAACGGGTATCAGGACGGGGTATTATTTAACTTTTTTATTGTTCTATTGTATAATTTTATATATCTAAATTCAAAAATCAAAACGTTTCGTTCGTTGGGAACATCATGGACAAGCGAACGTCTGTTTTGTTGCTAAAAAAAAAGTGATAAAACTCATGTCAAGACAGTCAAGACTGAACATACTTCCTTTTTGTATTGTTGTTTTTTATTGAGTGATGACTCAAGCCTGGTGTGAGATGTCAGTGATGAATGAACTTATCACTCGACACTCGTCACTGATGACTGATCAGTAAGTACTTGAGGACTGATCCGACTGTCTCAGGACTGGAGGTTGAGGTTCTGCCCTTCTGACAGGCTTCTGTATGTATTTAGTAGTGAAATCTCAAATCTCAAATCTCTCAGACCTGAGGGCTGAGGCCGCGGGCCTGAGGCCCTGAGTCCCTGAGCCCTGAGAGGCTGGAGACTGAGAGGACGAGCCTCTGAGTCTGAGGGCACTCTGCTGAAAGTTGACGGTTGACTGTTGAGGGAGTCAGTTTTCAGTCAGTTAGAGGACTCTGGAGTCTGGACTCTGGAGCTAGCCTCAAACCGTTTTCCGACAAAACTTTTGTATATCGAAGAAATATACGTTTATGTTCAACTTTTATTCCATATACGGTCCTTTGTATGCTCAAAGTGCGCCTTGTGGGTCTAAACATTTGAATGTGTGCCGCTTTCACCATACGAATATGTCCGAATAAAAACCTTAGGTAGGCCTTCAGATCACAATATAACCGTTATATCGTTTCAATATTGAATAAATATGCGTTTACGTTTAACTTCTATTCCGTACCCCCATAGCGTAATGAGCATAGCTCTGGAGTCTGAGGAAACTTCTCAATATACTCGATGATGTTAATTGCTCAATTTTAAAACAAAAAGCTCTCTAGATCTTTTTTTTTAAAATATAATATTATTAATAAAGCCACGCATTAGTATTTTTTTATTTTTTATTTTTTTAAACACAAACAAACATATATTTTTTCGAACTGTCAAACTCGTCAGTCTTCTTTTTTTTTTTGGTATGACATATCTGTGATATCACATTTGCTTGAATGCACAGGAATCCAGGGTTATGGTTGTCTTACTACAACGATTAGCAGGTAAATAACGACCGGTTTCAAAAAGCAGCGTGGCAGTCTCGATTCAAAGTTATATCGTTACTTCTACCCGTTCTGTAATCGACTGTGCCTTTTCCTGTTTCCCAGAAAAGTCACAACGATCCTCTCTACACATGAATCCTTAAATCCTCAGTATATATCAAGCTAACACACCGGAACACACAGTGGCTTGCACTACGACTATGGCCATCTTCACTAGATTCGCCACTTCGTCTCTTTACTCTTTGGATATATTGAATGCCAAAAAACAATATTGGAACATTGATTGTTGCGTTCGATTGGACTCAAAGAAGTGCGAGAAGAACGCCAGATGCAATGACAGAACCGATAGACACATGAGTGGATCTGTGCGTGCTAGAAATTTTATAGTGTTGTAATTAGTGGGATGGTGACTGTCACGAACCGACTACGACAACAAAAGTGAAATAAACACTAGGTGCAAGAATAGAATCGGCCATATCGTACAATATTTTATGTTCGTTCGTATAGACGACTAACGTATACACTTTCAAACATAATATATGTCAACAACAACAAAAGTACATATGTATTATTCTTCCGATATTCGAGTCTCTCTGCCTTTTTATTTTTATTTTTTTTATGTATGACTGTGTAACATAGAAAAAGTTAACCCCCCAGTACAATTTATATATCGAATCTACTCAGAGCAAAATGACATGACTCTGGACTCGGGACTCTGGGCTCTGGACTCTGGATCCAGTGGATTCAGATTTTAGGATTCTGGAGTCAGAAGTCAGGAGTACGAGAGCGAAGTGCTTGTTCTACATACCTGTTGTATCCGGTATCGACACACTCACTTGGACAGTGAATGAGCTGTACTTGATCTTTTGCATACTCAATTTATAATTGCTATGTAGTCGCCTACTGTAGCGAGTCGTTCATATCTGGTTTACAATGGCAGCGTGGCGGATCTGTTCGTTGTTTAAAGACAGTTCTGTTTACATTTCAGCGTGTTGATGTCCTCCAGCAGAACTTGTCATCGTTTCCCACTATATATATCCACTTGCAAAAGTACTATGAGAATAACTACACGCATACAACTTTACAAGGCGATCATTAAGTCACAAACAACCTCAAACAAAATGAAGTACACCACATCAGTAATCCTATTCACCGCAATGGCTTGCTCTGCGGCCATGGCCGCCTCCACTGAATCTGTTTCGTCCTCTGTCATCAGATGCAAATCTTGGGAGGCTGACTGCCGAATTGGAACGGACTACGATAAAAGCGAAAAGGATACGAGCTGCAAACCTAGAATAGATTCCACTATGGCATGTGTGGATCTGTGCTGCAAACAGTTAGTTGCACCAACTCCGTCTGCAAAGCCTTCTTCTTTTATCAAATGCAAAGAATGGAATGGTGAATGCCGCGTTGGGTCAGAATACGACAAGAACGAGAAAACCACCAGGTGCAAGAACAGAACTGACTCAACCGAGGCATGTGTGGATCTGTGCTGCAAACCGTTAGTTGCTCCAACTCCGTCTGCAAAGCCTTCTTCTTTCGTCAAATGCAAAGAATGGAATGGTGAATGCCGCGTTGGGTCAGAATACGACACGAACGAGAAAAACACCAGGTGCAAGGACAGAACTGACTCAACCGAGGCATGTGTGGACCTGTGCTGCTCGCAATTTGTCGCACCTGCCCCCTCTGCCATACCCTCAATTATCATATGCAAAGATTGGAAGGGCAAATGCCGTGTTGGCACCGACTACGATCAAAAACAGAAAAATACCCGCTGCAAGGACCGATCCGACTCCACCATGGCGTGCGTGGATGAATGTTGTACGCACCAGTAAATTTTTAATAACGCTAGGCAGGTATTTCGAATATTAGCATGAGCGAAATAGTACAATAAATCGTATGTTTGTATAGACCTATCCCCTATCACCCTTTGTTTAATGTTTAGGATTTTCTTGTTTTGATCGACACTTCAAACCGAATGAGCGCGGAGATTTCCCTTCAATGCAATATTAAACATTTACACGAATAGGTGTACTATCCTCGCTCGAATATATACCTTCGGACAGAGAGGTCAGATGATAATTGCCCATAATACTATTTTCTTCTCACATACGTTCTCTGAAAGGGGTTTAGAGTTGAGGTATCGCTCCATGGATGTACACTCAAACAAAACAAAGTACAAAAGCTACCTTGTGGCGTTGAGGATATATAATTTTCACTACAGTTATCTGTATGGGCCAATCATCACATAATGTATTGAAAGTGGCGGACAGGAGAGCTTACCACGATTGATGAATTGGTTTCTCGCTTAAGAACCACAGCAAATCACCTTTATATATTCCATATACTATATTTCAATTTGGAAGCTTTGGCGGTGCCAATGTTGTTAGAGTAGTCTAGACAAACAGTCATTTGTGCAGACATGCGTTCATTATACATGAATTTTACATCTTATATAGAGGCACTGTTTCCTTTTCTGGGAGGCAATTAATGGTCTTTATACATGTACAACTCACATAGTATTCAAACCTCATGAGATAGAAAATATATCTTACTGACATACACGGGAAGAACCGGACAATAAAGTTCAATTAATACCTATTGCAGTATATATACATATGCAGTTGGTATATCAGTCAATATAATCCTAAAACAAGCTATAAAATATATGTTCACAGCCAGCAAAAACGCGCATGGAGCCTTGGAATGAAGACTTAAAATAATGTTATACAAAAGATGCCTACCAAAAGGGTATAAATAGAAACCCTTGCCCATGTCTCGTGACACGATTCTGCAGCGAGCGCACGACCATTTAGTTGTACTGCTAGGAAGCGAAGACACACGGACAGACAACGACCTCAACACTAGTGACGGAGCAAACGCGCAGGGTAAAAACAGACTGGAACGGGGCAGGACCTTTGTGGAACGCTGTGCCACCTTATCCTGATTCACACTAGAGCTTCGAATGAATACTCCCACTGAAATGAGCAGTCTACCGTATATATATATATTGTTTTAATACTACATGCTGTATACCATACTGCACTGATGATTGATGGACGGTGATGACCTGTGATTCTTGTGACAACTCTGGAAGAGTCTTCAAGTTCCCCTTCCGATCGAAAAATACCTTGTCCGTGCATTCATTCGCTATCTGCGAACTTCCTCTTTGATTGCTGCATCAGCTGTTCTAGTCTATCCATTGCCTAATAGTCATTGCCGGTTAATCCACTATTCTGTGGTTTGTCTACATCCAGTCGTGCTCAAGATGGACGCGATATAACACCAATCCTATCGTAAAAACATGTGGTGAAACAAGCCTACAATTATTTTCTAGACGATATATGTATATCTTACATTCTCACCTTATGCATGTCTGTTTGGGCAATTGTCGAAGATCAATAAATGCATCTCTGCTAACCTTGCGTTATGAGGGGCGAATACCCTGTTTCATCTCCAAAAGTATATGGATTTCCAAGCTATTCACACTTCGAGTACATCAAAACTCCCGTGCTCCGGAATTTGCTATAACCCCAGTCCTCCGCGACCGGCACAAGTCTCAAGGTGACCGGAGTGCCTTTTGCCGACAGATGTTTCTGCACTTGTAGGCGCGGCTGAGTCATCGACTTCAAGGTCATGACTAGTAACCACTCGTCTAATTAATATCATACAAGTCTTCTGAGATGGTGGATGTAAGGTAGCGCTCTCGTGTGGTTGCCCTGGCACGAGTGGGAGGGAATAACGAGCATGAACACTGCTTGCCCAATCTCGCTCGACCCACACCAATCGGAAAGCGTTTCTAATAATAAACTAAAAACCATCATATGTCAGCACACGATACTCTGTCTCACTAATCTATACGCATTATTACGCGCATATTCTGTATAGACGCCATCCCTTCCGCTTGGACACTATCGAGCATGTCCATAGATGAACTCTGAAATAGTATTTAGCGAATCCTTTTTCTTCCAGTGCGTTTGGAAACAGTCAATGATATGCTCCACCAATCTTGTGAAAGATGTGTAAAGCATAACTTCTCTTCAGATGCGTATAAGTGTTACTACTACCGCCTGAACACAGACAAGGATAAGTGCACATCCAGCTCGTGAATGATGCGTAGAGCATCACTTCTCTTCCAATTCGGTGCCGAACCATGAGGGGCATGAAGTGCGTTGCTGCAAGATTTCGAGAGCTTCCTTAGGCTTCACAACCTGTAACAGTGTGTAGGATTGTATATCACAGGCTTTAAACGTATACATGGGATTGCATAAGATTTAAGCTATCATACTTGCTATACAGAATTTGGATAAAACCGGACATACACAAAAATACGTGTTATATATATATATATGTGTGTGTGTGTGTGTGTGTGTGTGTGTGTGTGTGTGTGT